CATCCCAAGGCGCAGTTTGTGATCAGTGAGTTGATTTTCTCCTTGTCCCCTGAGAGTCCAATTCCCCACCTTTCCCAGCTCTCCTCACTTGTCCATCCATCGACTCACCCCGTCCCTTCACTTGTCTTACTCTAGGAGGCTCAGGGGGGAAGACTTGGGGCAAGACGACGGTGTGTGAGCAGAGAAGATTTGCCAGCAGCTGTTCTGCCACCCTCTCCTCTGTGTTCCACACAGTCACCTCTTCCCTTCACTCGTTACTCCAGGAGGAGTGTCAAGGGGAACAGCCTCGGGCAAGACAAGGGGGTGTGAGCAGAAAATTCAGTAGCAGCTGCTCTACCTCCTTCTATCCCTGCTCAATTCCCCATTCAAAATTCACCTACACGCAACACCCACACACTTCTTACCCTTCCGTCCTCCTAATTTAGGAGTCTTAGGGGGAACAGCGTTGGCCAAGACGACGGTGTGTGAGTATACATGAGCAAAAAAAAGAAGGTCGATTTGGTGCGGTTTGGTTCGCTTATTGACGAACCGAACTGGAATTTTGGGGATACGGTTCGTGAACGGGCCGAATCGGTTCGATAACGAACTGGTTCGCTTGTTAGGTAAGATTCGTTAATGCGACCTTCCCGAGTCGCGCCGAACCGAACCGGTTCGTAATAGTAGGGGTTCGTAAACGAACCCCCCTCCGTTCGTTAACCGGACCCCGCGCGACTCGAGGCGGCGGGTTCGTTTTTTCCAGATCGAAAGCAGAGTTGGAGCTCATTTCGAGCTCCAACTGTTCCGTAGAATAAATCGCATCTCCCGCTTGGTTACCGGACTCAGATCCTGTGGACTTAACAGCCATGAGCTCAGCAGCACCACAACCGCTGGGTGGTGCTGCTGGTGCACCATGTGAGTGAGATGCGATGCAGTGCGGTGAAACGTGGTGCACTAGGGGATCTGGTGCGATGTTAGGTGAAGGGGTGAATCATGAGAGAGAGGAGATGAGGTTGTGGTCGTGCATGAATCACCTAGTCTTTTCAGCTGAGCATTCTGCAGCTGCATAATCACCTAGTAGTGGTGCTGGTGCACCCAGGTGAGCTGCGGTGTGATACGGTTGAGTGCAGTGCGGTGCGGTGCGGTGATGTGAAAGGACTGTTGATTCAACTCAACAGTCATTGATTCAGCAGCTGCATGACCACATGGTGGTACTAGGTGAGATGCGGTGCAGTGCGGTGCAAAGCAGTGCATTAAGAGAGAGGGGGTGGGGTTGTGATTGTTGAGTCAAGTCAGCGGTCATTCAGTCATTCAGCAGCTTCACGACCACTGGTCGGTGCTGGTTGGTTATACCAGGTGAGAGGTGGTGCAATGCGGTGCAAAGCGTTGCAGCATTTGTGTGAAATATCATAAGGTGTGCGTGAGCCGGAGGTGGAGATGCAGTGCAGTGAACCCCATTTAGTGCCATGCCAACCAATGCCACTCCATGCCAACCAATGCCACTCCATGCCAACCAATGCCACTCCATGCCAACCAATGCCACTGTATGCCAACCAATGCCACTCCATGCCAACCAATGCCACTCCATGCCAACCAATGCCACTCCATGCCAACCAATGCCACTCCATGCCAACCAATGCCACTCCATGCCAACCAATGCCACTCCATGCCAACCAATGCCACTGTATGCCAACCAATGCCACTCCATGCCAACCAATGCCACTCCATGCCAACCAATGCCACTCCATGCCAACCAATGCCACTCCATGCCAACCAATGCCACTCCATGCCAACCAATGCCACTCCATGCCAACCAATGCCACTCCATGCCTCGCCACCACTCCTTACCATGGCACTTGTTCTCCTAACCACGCCGTATACATGAAAACATAGATGTACCCACAACTTCTGCTTTCTTGCTAAAGTGGAGTCTGGTTTTCCGTCTGTTTGTGCCAATCATGGCTTAACTTGAGATTGTGCTTGCTGGGGTTTCCTGAGATTGTTCCTCCTTGTGCTTGCATGGGAACGCACCTGTTCCGACTTGTGCTTGCATGGGAACGCACCTGTTCCGACTTGTGCTTGCATGGGAACGCACCTGTTCCGACTTGTGCTTGCACTTGACACTTCCTAGCGCTTTCTACCTCGTCTTTTGAGACGCCTCAAACGTTGCTAAACTCGAGATTGTGCTCCCCCAAGTTCCTTCCGACTTGTGCTTGCACTTGACACTTCCCAGGGCTTCCTACCTCACTCGCATCAATCCTTTTTTTTAGGCGCCTCAAAAGTTCCCAGCGCGGCCCACCTCGCATCCATCTCCTGGTGTGTATCTTCCTCGCAAATAACTCTCGAGATGCAAAATGTATTGTGCCTTAGCGGTGTATTCTGTGGAGAGGCATGATGGGCATGAAATGGCATGAAGAGTAAGGGAGAGGAGTGGAGGCGAAGGAGTTGGAAGTGAGGGGGGTGAGAGGAAGGCAGGGCGTGAAAAGGCATGATGAGCATGGGAAGGCATGATGTGTGTGGAAAGGCATGATGAGCATGGTAAGGCATGATGTGTGTGGAAAGGCATGATGAGCATGGTAAGGCATGATGTGTGTGGAAAGGCATGATGAGCATGGTAAGGCACGATGTATGTGGAAAGGCATGATGAGCATGGTAAGGCACGATGTGTGTGGAAAGGCATGATGAGCATGGTAAGGCACGATGTGTGTGGAAAGGCATGATGAGCATGGTAAGGCACGATGTGTGTGGAAAGGCATGATGAGCATGGTAAGGCACGATGTGCGTGGAAAGGCATGATGAGCATGGTAAGACACGATGTGTGTGGAAAGGCATGATGAGCATGGTAAGGCACGATGTGCGTGGAAAGGCATGATGAGCATGATAAGGCACGATGGCCATGGAAAGGCATGATTCGCATGAAAAGGCATGATGCGCATGAATGCATGAGAAGTGGGAGAGAGAAGTGAAGGTGATGGTCTAGGAATTGAGGGGTGTGAGAGGAAGGCAGGGCGTGACAAGGCATGATGGGCAGGGAAAGGCATGATGGGTGGGCATGGAAAGGGATGATGGGCATGAAGGCATGAGAAGTGGGAGAGAGAAGTGAAGGTGATGGACTAGGAATTGAGGGGTGTGAGAGGAAGGCAGGGCAGCGCCCAGGGCTGCCACGAGTAAGGCAGGGCAACACTGCCAGGTCCCGATTGGGCAAGTGTGTAGGTTATGTATGTTAATCAATCATTCTCTGTTCGCCCTCTCTTTCATCTTCCCTCCCCTTTATCCCTCCGCCTCGCCCTTTCCTCTCTCCATCCCTGCTTCCCATGCACAGCAGTCGTTGACATTCCTCCTGCAAACTTCTGGGGGTATTGTGCCTTGCAGCATCGTGCCTTGCAGCATCGTGCATGCATGAGCATCAGAGCATGAGCATCAGCACATGAACATCAGCACCTGAGCATCAGCACCTGAGCATCAGCACCTGAGCATCAGCACATGGCAGTGCATGCATGATCTTCAGCACATGACCATCTAACCATGAAAATCCATACACATGACGAAGTTACATTGTTTGTTTGATCCCAATGGCTGTCTACATTCTACGTTCAGGTGTGGAGGATATACCGTACGGTACGGGGCGGTTACCAAAGAGGTTTTGTTAAGCTGACGTTTTGTCTCTTTGTTCTCTAAGTTTTTTTGCATGCGTATAGGGCACCACTCTCGACGTACTTCGCTGCTCTGATGTGCGGAAACGGTGTACCAACAGGCTGCATCTCTGTTTGCATTCAGAAACCTCATCACTTCATTGTTTGCACATGGTATGTGCACATCCATACCATGTTTCTTGAGTTGACTATATCCTGCTAACAACTTATAATAGAATGCCACTCCCCATAAGCACCTTATATCATCTACAAGAACCCACAAAAGGACTACCCAACATGAAACATGACTACCATACATCAACCAGTGAAACACAATCACGACAGTACTAAATTGCCGTGCTAGTATTTAAAGCCCGAGTACAGCATGGTTATTTTCAAGTTCAAGATTCTTGAACTTGAAATCGCCAATTACATGGTTACCCTACTTTGTTTGACGGAACTCTCGCGACTCTGGGACAACGCCTAGTGACCCTCTCTCATTGGCTTTTGTGCACAATCGCAAAACAGAACCGAACGTCGCTCAGGTTGGCCCGCTGTTTGGCTCACATATCTTGAACACCTAGTCCCTCACATAAGTAGGAAGCCAGTGCGGCATCAGCGAGTTCCCTTAAACGCGTTTTCTACGGCAACTCACGTCACTCATGCTGTCTCGCCAATAGCTGGGCAGCGCAAGCCTAGTGTCGCTGTCGATATTTACATACGTTTTCGCGTCACTCACACGGAACGTGTGAGACAAACGAGTGCTTCACCATGCTACCCCACGTTTAGCGCGCGTCGTCACCCGCGCTCCCCCTCGTCACCCGCGCCCGTCCTCGCCACCCGCGCCCGCCCTCATCTCTCGCGCCTGCACGGGATAGAATGCCTCCCCTCGTCATGCGTTTCCCTTCGTCCCCCGCGTTTCCCTTCGTCGCCCGCGTTTCCCTTCGTCCCCCGCGTTTCCCTTCGTCACCCGCATTTCCCTTAGTCACGCGCGTTTCCTTTCGTCACGCGCGTTTCCCCTCGTCACGCGTGTTTCCCTTCGTCGCGCGCATTTCCGCTCGTCGTGCACGCGCCTTCTCGTCACGCGCGCTTCCCCTCGTTGCGCGCTCTCCTCCCCTCGTTACGCGCTATCCTCCCTCGTCACGCACGCTTCCCCTCGTGACGCGCACTCCTCCCCTCGTCACGCGCTCAACCATTCACTCGCAATCTTCCGTAGAACAGTGTGTAGCAACTCCCCCATACGCCCTCGCTCCTTCTAGCCGCATTGAATGCATACTGATGTCATGGGCAGAGCGGGAGGGACAGAGGGGGATGGACAGCTGAGGGGGGGGATGGTGTCATAGTGAACGAATGATTGATGGGCGGGGGACAGGAAGGGAACGTGCGGGGGAGATGGGAAGGGTAGAACGAGAAGGACAAGGGGGAGAGGGGGCAGGACAGAAGGGGGAGGAACAGGGGGGAGGACAGGGGGAGAGACAGAGGGAGAAGGACAAATGGGGAGAGACAGAGGGGGAAGGACATAGGTGGAGAGACAGAGGGTGAAGGGCCGAGTGGGGGAGACAGAAGGGGAAGGATGGAGGGGGAGGAACGGAAGGGGGAGGGCAGAGAGTGAGAGACGAAGGGTGAGAGTGGGTTCTTCCCTCACTCCCTCTCCCCATCGACCTCAATTCCCCGAATTGTTTACACCCCTAATTTTTTTGACCGACCTCCCTTTCTCCCACCAGCTCTGTTTACCACCCAATCTATTATCCGTTGCCTCACCTGCTTCCCCCCTCCCTCCTCCTTGCTTCCCCCCTCCCTCCTCCCTGCTTCCCCCCTCCCTCCTCCCTGCTTCCCCCCTCCCTCCTCCCTTCTCCCTGCTTCCCCCCTCCCTCCTCCCTGCTTCCCCCCTCCCTTCTCCCTGCCTCCCCCCTCCCTCCTCCCTGCTTCCCTGCTTCCCCCCTCCCTCCTCCCTGCTTCCCCCCTCCCTCCTCCCTGCTTCCCTGCTTCCCCCCTCCCTTCTCCCTGCTTCCCCCCTCCCTCCTCCCTGCTTCCCCCCTCCCTTCTCCCTGCTTCCCCCCTCCATCCTCCCTGCTTCCCTCCTCCATCCTCCCTGCTTCCCCCCTCCATCCTCCCTGCTTCCCCCCTCCATCCTCCCTGCTTCCCCCCTCCCTCCTCCCTGCTTCCCCCCTCCCTACTCCCTGCTTCCCCCCTCCCTTCTCCCTTCTTCCCCCCTCCCTTCTCCCTGCCTCCCCCCTCCCTCCTCCCTGCTTCCCTGCTTCCCCCCTCCCTCCTCCCTGCTTCCCCCCTCCATCCTCCCTGCTTCCCCCCTCCCTCCTCCCTGCTTCCCCCCTCCCTCCTCCCTGCTTCCCCCCTCCCTCCTCCCTGCTTCCCCCCTCCCTCCTCCCTGCTTCCCCCCTCCCTCCTCCCTTCTTCCCCCCTCCCTCCTCCTTGCTTCCCTCCTCCCTCTACCCTGCTTCCCCCCACCTCTGCCCTGCTTCCCCCCACCTCTCGCACCCTGTCTGGTCTCTACCTCCCCTCGTTCTCTACGAACTTGGTGAGTGGAGCGGACCTACAGGATAGGGGGGTTGACCAGTTCACTCCTGCGAGTCAGCGAGTGACCCACTGCACGTATACTCGGACAGGCCGACACTTGGCCACGTTCACCCGTCGGCCAGGGTCGAGCCTGTACACCCTTACTACTGAGTCTCCTCGTGCTGCTAAGTCTGGCCAGGTAGCTACGTCGAGTCAGGTGTTTGCTGCGGCGTCCAGGTCTGGTCCTGAGTCTGCCCCTTGCTCATGTCGTCTGCTGTCCCACCAGACTCTCCTTTGGCACCACCGCCTTGGTCACCCCTCCTTGCCTCGCCTCCGAGGCATGGCCTCTCGTGTCCTTGTCTCTGGTCTCCGTTGGTCTCTCCCTCCCCTTCCTCCGGGGCCTGGCCCTACCTGCGTCCCCTGTGTTGAGGGGCGACAGCGCGCTGCCCCTCACTCCTCCGAGTTTCCTTCGACAGAGGCTCTGCTGCAGACTCTCCACATGGACGTGTGGGGCAGGGGCGAGAGCGGTACTTTCTGCTGGTGGTTGAGGTCTGTCACGGAGCCATGAAGCTATGATAGTGCGGTATATGACCCGAGCAAGTATTGTGTGTGATAGTAGAAGCTCCCTTTGTCAAAGGCGTCCGCTTCGGTGCGGTGCAGTATGCTTCAAAACACGTCATCTCCCCCATAGCAGGGTTGAGACATCGTGAGTGATCCCCTGACGATGTAGAGTTCTTTCGCCATTCGTTAGTCGCTTTCGTTACGTAAGATTGACTGCTGAAGGCGCTTGCGAACTAGATTGTTGCACATTCGACGACACTAGATTGTAGTTAAAACCAGAGGCAGAGTGCTGTGGGAAATTCCGCGAGAATCACCTGCAAAGCCCTTTGAAAGGAAGGCATTCAACCGTACACACCCTTCCTGTTGCGAGCGTCATTGAAAATTCTTGGGTTTTTAGGACTGTCAGATTTATATGACATAGTTGCTGTAGGCTATAGTGGGGTAGCACATATGGGGTACAGGTTTCTAGGGTTGTATTTGTACCCAATCTTTCCTTAGTTATTTCATTCCTGTTCTTTCAACTTCACATGGTATAGAGCAGGTTCCCCTATGGGAACTTCGCCTAGGGCCCACCACACACCTTTTTTTTTCCTGCCCGAAGCGCACTCGTTCCGAGTCGCGCCTCGGGCTTCTCTCTCACCAAGCCGCCCTAGCGGCTGACCCTTCGATCGCGGCCACGCCGCCCTTCACTCTTGCGGCCCCGCCGCCCTTACCTCGCGGCCCGCCGCCCCTTGATCGCGGCCCCGCAGCCTCCCTTGATCGCGGCCCCGCCGCCTCCCTTGATCGCGGCCCACCGCCCCTTCATCGCGGTCCCGCCGCCCCTTGATCGCGGCCCCGCCCCCCCCCTTTCTAGCGGCCCCACCGCCCTTTCCACGCGGCCCCGCCGCCCTTCACCTACGCGGCCCCGCCGCCCTTCACCTCCGCGGCCCCGCCGCCTCAGCAACGCGGCCCCCGCCGCCCTTACCGTTGCGGCCCCGCCGCCCTTACCTAAGCGGCCCCGCCGCCCTTTACCTAAGCGGCCCCGCCGCCCTTTACCTACGCGGCCCCACGCCGCCCTCTCCTACTCGGCCCAGCCGCCCCTACGTCGCGGCCCTGCCGCCTCAGCAACGCGGCCTCGCCGCCCTCACCTGAGCGGCCCCGCCGCCCTCACCTACGCGGCCCCCTGCCGCCTCACCTTCGCGGCCCAGCCGCCCCAACCTACGCGGCCCCGCCGCCCTTACCTGAGCGGCCCCGCCGCCCTTACCTTCGCGGCCCCTGCCGCCCTCACCTACGCGGCCCTACCGCCGCTCTACCTGCGGCCCAGCACCAGCCGAGCCGCCTGGCCTCAGCCGCGCCGCCCAGCAGCAGCCGAGCCGCCCAGCAGCAGCCGAGCCGCCCAGCATCAGCCGAGCCGCCCAGCAGCAGCCGAGCCGCCCAGCAGCAGCCGAGCCGCCTAGCAGCAGCCGAGCCGCCCAGCAGCAGCCGAGCCGCCCGGAGCCGCCGAGCCGCCCAGCAGCAGCCGAGCCGCCCGGGAGCAGCCGAGCCGCCCAGGAGCAGCCCAGCCGTCCTGCAGCCGTCGAGTCGCCCTGCTACCGGGCCGCCCGACCTGCCCTGTCTGGTGAGCACAGCGCTGCCCTACTGCTACTGCGTGCCCTTCCCCACTGCTTGCACTGCTAGTCTGTCGTCATGGCTACCCCCAGTGTCCTAGCTTTTGACGCTGAGGGTCGCGCCATTGATTTTGAGGTCTGGGTCGACGACCTGCAGTTGTTTTTACAGTGCGATAGGGCGGACGGTCTTTCTCTCTTTGACCTCACCTCTGGCGCCTCTCCTGCTCCTGCTCCTGATGCTGACCCCACTGTTCGCTCTCAGTGGGCCACCCGTGATGCTGCTGCACGTCTTGCTGTGCGTCGCCACTTGCCCACCACTGAGCGCGCGCACTTTAGTCAGTACAAGAGTGCTCAGACCTTGTACGACGCTGTAGTTGCGCGCTACTCTTCCCCTGCCACTGCTGCACTGAGCCGCCTCATGCTACCGTACCTCTTTCCTGATCTCACTGCCTTTCCTACTCTCGCTGATCTCATTACCCACCTTCGCACTAGTGACACTCGCTACCGCGCCGCCCTTCCTGCTGAGTTCTGCGCCAAGAACCCCCCCCCCCCATGTACATCGCTCTCTATTACATAGTCACTCGTCTCCCTGACTCCCTTCGCGTAGTCAGAGACCACTTCCTCTCAGTCTGTCCCACCACCCTCACTGTCGATCTCCTCGAGAAGGCCCTCCTAGCGGCGGAGAAGAGAAAAGTCGCTGTAGGAGCCTCTCGGGGAGACCCGCGCACCCCCATCTTTGAGGGGTGTTCTCCTTCCCCCCTGCTGCCCTCTGTTGCCTCTGCTGCTGCTGCCGACCTGCTTGGTCTTGAGTCGGTTGGCGCGGCGTCTGCCCCTAGCGGGAGACGCCGCTCTGGCAAGAGCAAGGGGGGCAAGGGCGCGGGTGGAGCTGGCGGGGGCGGTGGGGGTGGCGGTGGAGGCGGCCGAGGGACTGGGGGTGGCGGTGGGAGTGGTGGCGGGAGTGGTGGCGGTGGCGGCGGCAGCGGCGGAGGAGGCGGTGGTGGTGGCGGTGGTGGAGGTGGTGGGAGCGGAGGCGGTGGTGGTGGCGGTGGTGGAGGAGGTGCTGGCGGGGGAGGTGGAGCCGGTCGGGGTGGTGCCCCGCAGCGGAGCGGCTCTGGTGGTGGTCCGCGGCAGCAGCAGCAGCAGCAGCGTGCTCGGGACATCCCCCCGCCTCAGCAGCTCCGTGAGTGGTACACGCAGAGTCAGCGTGGTGGAGGTTTTGGCTCGTGCACCTACGTTCTTTGCAGTGGCGACCGCGCGGGTGAGCAGTGTGGGGGTGCCCACGCCACTCGGCGCTGCTTTGGCCGCCTGACGGACGCTTGGCGTCAGCAGTTCCCTGACGCCTCTGAGATCCCCCGCTGGGGAGACCTTTCTAGAGCTGGTGTAGCGATCTTTGAGCTAGACTTTGATGCTATCCTTGCTGCTATGTATGCTGTGTCTATTAGTGATGAGGGTGACTGTTACCGGTGTTTCCCGCCCGACCCGGGCATTGGTACGGCTGCGCTAGGTGCCTGTGACACTGCTGTGCTCTCAGGTACTAGTGAGGCTGCGCTCTCAGGTACTGGTGAGGCTGCGCTCTCAGGTACTGGTGAGGCTGCGCTCTCAGGTACCACGTCGGCTTCGGCCTCCCTCACCTTTATACTTGACTCTGGGGCTTCTCGCTCCTTCTTTCGGGACCGCACCACACTCACGCCGCTTGGCCGGCCGGTTGCAGTCTCCCTGGCTGACCCCTCTCGGGGTCCTGTCCTCTTTCACTTCTCCACTGTTCTACCGTGTCCAGCTGCCCCCTTGGGCGCCCTATCAGGCCTGTACCTCCCCTCGTTCTCGACAAACTTGGTGAGTGGTGCTTCCCTACAGGATGCTGGGGTTCACCAGTTCACTCCTGCGAGTCATCGGGTGACCCACTCCACGGACGCACGCACAGGCCGGCACCTAGCCACGTTCTCGCGTCGGCCGGGGTCGAGCCTCTACACCCTGACCACTGCGTCTCCTCCTGTCCCTGCGTCTGATCAGGTAGCTGCGTCAGGTCAGGTGTTTGCTGCTGCGTCCCGGTCTGGCCTTGAGTCTGCCCCCTGTTCGTGTCGCCTCCTGTCTCACGAGACTCTCCTGTGGCACCACCGTCTTGGCCACCCCTCCTTGCCCCGTCTTCGGGGCATGGCTTCCCGTGTCCTTGTCTCTGGTCTTCCCCGGTCTCTCCCTCCCCTTCCTTCAGGACCAGGAACTTCCTGTGTCCCCTGTGTCGAGGGGCGCCTCAGGGCTGCTCCTCACTCCTCCTTGTTTCCCCCGACGGAGGCTCCTCTGCAGACACTTCACATGGACGTGTAGGGCCCGGCCCGCGTCCGTGGGCAGGGTCACGAGTGCTACTTCCTGTTGGTGGTTGACGACTACTCGCGTTACACCACAGTCTTCCCCTTGCGCAGCAAGGGTGATGTCACTGCGGTGCTGATCGACCGGATCCGCGAGGCTCGTCTCCAGCTCAGGAGGAGCTTCGGCTCGGACTTTCCTGTTCAGCGTCTGCACTCTGACTGAGGTGGGGAGTTCTCCTCTCGCCTTCTACGAGAATACTGTCGTGCACGGGGGATCCGCCAGACCTTTACGCTTCCAGACTCTCCACAGCAAAATGGGATTGCTGAGCGCCGCATTGGCATGGTCATGGATGTCGCTCGTACGTCCATGATGCATGCGGTTGCCCCCCATTTTCTGTGGCCGTTTGCGGTTCGGTACGCGGCGCATCAGCTCAACCTTCACCCCAGGGTCTCTCGGCCCGCGATGTCCCCAGTCTTGCTATGGACGGGGAAGGTCGGCGATGCGTCTGCGTTCCGTGTCTGGGGATCTCGGGCGTTTGTCCGTGACTTGTTTGCGGACAAGCTGTCCCCTCGTGCTGCTCCCTGTGTCTTCCTTGGCTTCCCCCCTGACGCTCCAGGGTGGCAGTTCTACCACCCCTCCTCTCGTCATGTTCTGTCCTCCCAGGACGTCACGTTCGACGAGTCAGTCCCCTTCTACCGCCTCTTCCCCTACCGCACTCCTTCCCTCCCCCCGCCACCGGACTTCCTTGTGCCGGTTCCCCCCCCGGTAGACCCCCTCCCCCCTCAGGTTCCTGCCCCCTCAGGTGTGTCCCAGGTAGACGCAGTTGACCCGGTCGAGGTTACTGGTGACTCTGGTGCTGCTGCGGGTGCTGCGCCTAGGGGTGCTGACTCTGGGGGTGTTGTGCGCGTGGGTGCTGAGCCTGGGGGTGCCGAGCCTGGAGGTGCTGCTACTGGGGGTGCTGAGCCTGGGGGTGCTACTGCTGAGGGTGCTGAGCCTGGGGGTGCTGAGCTGGGGGGTGCTGTGCCTGGAGTTGCTGAGCTAGGGGGTGCTGAGTCTCGGGGTGCTGAGTTTGGAGCTGCTGAGCCTGGGGGTGCTGAGTCTTGAGCTGCTGAGCCTGGGGGTGCTGCGTCTAGAGCTGTGGAGCCTGGGGTTTCTCCTGGTGCTCCGTCTCGGCGGGAGCCCCTTGCGGAGATAACTACTACAACGGGAGCTAGACTACTGGCTAGGCACGTGTGCTCGTGTGATCTCTGCGTTCGTTGGTCCTTAGACGTTTTCCTAGTGCTCACACTGCTTGCTAGTT